GGGGGGGGGGGGGGGGGGGGGGGGGGGCATCGTAAAAAGGTTATTTATAGTTTAGTTTTAACTATTAATTTGAAAGAGTGGCCAGCATCCTCAATATGGAGGACTTGGCTGGTAAGCAAATTTGTACTTTATATATTATATTTTATTATTCATCAGGCCTAAATAAGTTTTGTGCCAAAGCTAAAATTAAATTTAAAGTTGTCCTTATGAAATTCAACTATCTTATGCAAGGCAAAAATCAGAACTTAGGAATAATGATCTCTTAGCTAACCATACTGTTCAATGTTAATATTTTGCTCCTCTGAAATTCAAAATTGATTTAAAATGATCTCTCGCCATTGTAACTTAGGAGGATTTAAAAAATTACGAAGATTGTGTAAACAACAATTTTGGAAACCTTGTCTTATTTGAATATTCGTTGACTTACATCGCCTGAAGGGTGTGTAATATGATAGTATTTTGACGAAGGATAAATCAGAGTGTGGTATATCAATTTAATTGGAACGAGGAAGTTTCCCAAAGAAATCGTTAGAAAGGAAATATGTGTTCACTTGTCACTGGTCAGAATGTCCTTTTGGAACAAACGATCGCTAAATTGTATAAAACGTTCGGTTCAAAAAGAGATTTATAGCGTTACGATATAATTGCAATGCTTGTGATCACCTTCATTGTATAAACTCAGTGGAATAGATTTTTTTTTTACCAGTTTCTTCACGCTAACATACAATATGAGGATTTAATATATATTTAAAAAGAGAAATAAGCCTTTTGCGTTTTAATTTATACGGTTCTTACCTTCGGTAACAGACGGTTTGTATTGCGACTCCTTAGCCGAATTCCATTTTGCTTTGCCAACTTTCACTGACGGAGTCTCGTCCTGATTGGTGTCTAAATGCGTCAATTCTTCATCTGGTCTGTCATAAGCTATCGTGGCGTAGTGATCGTGTTCTCCAAAATGACATTTACTTGGTTTGCCGCAGTGAAACATGTAACAAATTTTCTCTATTTGCGGGAAGAAGCCAACCGTAGAATTCTTGTATTGCATTTGCGCCAGGTCGCAGTTTTTCCGCTCGCAACACAACTTGTAACATTCTTTAGCGTCTTTAACATATGAATGTTTCAGGAACTTTGCACCGTTACTCACAGATTCCCTTGCCTTGATAATCTGTCCTTTATTCACGTGAATACTGTACGGACATGTGTATTCCTCCTCCGCGGTGGAAACGCACCAGAAGAAAGCCACTAAAATGCTGAGTAAACAGATTCGATGGAAGCCTTTCGAACGCATCTCGTGCCAGCACTGAGAAGGTTTCCTAACGCAAACAACTCAATCTTGTTTTCTTCCACAACTGGGACTTTCAGTTCCAACTGTTTTTTTTTTCCTTCTAGACTACCATAACTTGGCAATAACACAACAATATGGACGCCCGTGATAGAAAATTCGGATTTTCTACGTCATTTGAGCACCTAGTGACAGCGCATGCGTCCTTGGAATGCCGGGAGTTGTCACTCGACCTCAGTCACTAATGGGGAACGAAGACTGGAACGAGATTGCCCCAGTCACACTCGATATCGACTGAATTTTCAAAATGTCGGCCGCACCGTGTCATCAATTAGAGACTTTCATTTCCCTTGCTTCACCCAAAATCGACGAGAAAGCAAATGATCTTCAAAAACTGAGTTTAAAGATCTGGGAGCGACCCGAGTTAGGATACGAAGAGCATTTTGCACACAGTATTCTCAGCGACTTTTTCGAGGAGCAAGGATTTGAAGTCACAAGGGAATACAATTTGCCAACAGCTTTTCGTGCGGTGTTTGGGGGAGAGAAGGCGGAACCTACAGTAGCTGTGCTCTGTGAATACGATGCATTACCTGGGATTGGTCATGGATGCGGTCATAACTTGATAGCAGTGGCAGGTAATTTTTTATTTCCTTCGATTCAGAACAAGGCTTCATCTCGGGGGGGGGGGGGGGGGGGGGGGGAGGAAGAGAATTACCCTATAATAGTGTCGGTACGGGGAGGTTCCCCCAGATAGGAGTACCTTTTAAAGACCCCAGGTATATAAAAGGGTAGGGTTTTCAAAAGTTGAGGTATTTGAAAGGGTAGGAAAATCTGTAATTTTGGTACAACGTGAACGTGAACTGCATTTTAAAATAATACTTGTTTTTTGGTTAATATCTCGATGTTCTCCCCTAATGATGGTTATTAATTTCATTATAAGGGTTAAGAAAAAGCGTAATCCCCAAGCTTTTGTTGAGTCTACCTCCAGATGTTTCACCCTCAGGGATTGGTAAGTCTGGTTCATTCACTATTCCCTCACAAAAAAGTATTTATCTACAGGGGTAGGAGCAGCACTGGGGATAAAGCAAGCTATTGAGGGAGGACTCAATGCCAAGGTTGTTGCCATGGGAACCCCTGCTGAGGAAGGAGGTGGTGGGAAAATCCAGATGATCAACGGTGGTTGCTTTAAAGATGTTGATTTTTGTATAATGGTGCACCCAGCCCCATTCAATGCCTCATTTTATGTGAGCCAAGCCCTGGAAAAAGTGGAAGTGGTTTACAAAGGTCATGCAGCACATGCTGCGGCTTTCCCATGGGAAGGGCAGAATGCTCTTGATGCTGCTGTATTGGCATACAGCTCAATAAGCATGTTGAGACAACAAATGAAACCAACTTGGCGAGTTCATGGAATCATAAGTGATGGCGGAGTTAAGCCGAACATAATTCCCGAGCAGTCCAAGTTGGAGTATTGGGTGCGAACTGTTAAAAACAAAGAGTGTGCAGTCCTCCGGTCCAAGGTACACAGCTGTTTTGAAGCTGCGGCGAAAGCTACAGATTGCACAGTTGATATAAAGTGGGATCCCACCCCTCATGCACGCATGCTAACCAATAGCAAACTGGCACTTTTGTATCAGAAGTATGCAGAACAGATGGGTGTGGTGTTCCCATCGCGAGAAGAGCAGGAGAGTATTGTGGATGGTTCAACTGATATGGGAAATGTATCAATGGCGCTCCCAGGTCTTCACGCCCTTTACTGTATTGATAGTTCAGTTCCTTATCACTCGCATGCCTTCCGAGTGGCTTCAGGCACACAGTATGCCCATGATCAGACCATTATTGCCGCCAAATCTCTTTGTTTTACTGCTATCGAGGTGTTAAAGGATGCTGCTGTACTAGCTCAAGTAAAAGAAGAATTTTTACAAACAGTTCAAGATGCTTAGACTTTTAGGTAAAAAAAAAATCAGCTGCAATGTTTTGGGTAAAAAACCTAAACTGAATGTCATTAGAGTAGTTACAGTACTTTTCAGGGTGTTGGACCAACAAATAGTTGGTGTCAGTTGAATTGAATCATGTTCAAAATCAAGGTTTTGGTATCTTCTAGGGGCTCTTTTCAAAATGTTTTAGACAAGCACCTTGGTCATGTTTTAAGGGAGTCTTTCCCAGGCCCTCGTCACTTCAGAACCTGTAAGTTTTGTCATTCATTTTACAAGAAAATCAAATGTTTTTAAAAACACTTTATTTCTGTGTTAGCATTACACGGACCACAAACAGAAAAAGCCTGTAAAGATACTACTCAATTATAAACACCTTTATTAACATCTGGTAAAAAAAAATCCCTTATTTAAATATTAAATATCCCAGTGTGGGTGCAAACAAACAAATTGTCATGAGTGATTCTATCACTTTTATAAAAAAAAAATATTGTTCAATCCAGCATACTTTATAATAATTGACTGTGTATGCATAATGAAAACTGGTCAGCTATTCTCTCATTAAAATTTCTTGGACATAATAAAAAGACAAAAGACTTCTCAAAAGAGTTTCACATCTCTCTTCAATACTCTCAGCAGAGTGAGGGCTCCTCCTAACCCAGCCATTAAAAATGACACAACAACAGCTCTTTTTACAACCTGAAACCACAAAAAAGTAACCTTTTTTCAGTGTCCTGTACTCAAGATCCTGTGTCTGATACATTTCACACAATGTCATTCCACTATAAATGAACATCTGAAAATGGATTGGATGTTTTCTACTACTGATACATGTTGAGTCAACAGGTTTTTCACCCTCTATCTCAGGCTCTCTCCCCTTTACTTCCACTGCTGTGGAAGACAAGAGAGGCACAGGGAAGAAAACCAGGGAATGAGGTTGGGGACCAGCCCACATCAATGCAACCAGCCTTACACACATACCAGAAACTGTTCAGTTTTCTATCTGTTTTAAATGTGTCAATGGTGCCCATCAGAGAACGGCACAATTTATGCCAATAGACCATTTTACAGGTCTGTGAAATATAACCTAGCGTCTGCATGGAATCAAGGTTTGGGTTGACCTTGCGATGCTAGTTAGCATGATACTGGAATAATTTACATTTGAAAAGTCAATTTAGTGTTTATATCATAACAAAGTCAATTGTAGCCTCCGTTCTATTCAAGGGCCTGACCAAAAAAGCACAGAACTGTAAAATGGGCTATTATTGAAGATGTGAATGTAATGGCACTGTAATAATTTCTATTCAGGACCAGAAAGAAGAGACTATATTCCAAGTAAGTATTCAACATTTAATATGTTTGTCGTGATAATGTAGCAACAAATTAAATGACTTGGAATTTGAGGGCAAACCTTTTCTTGCCACTGCGATCTTTCAATCACTGTCTTGTATGGTATCTGAGAAAATGACACCTAGGGATACAAATTTATTAAAACAAAGAACATTAAACAACCAAAATTCACAAAATTCCAATATTGTTATAAGCCCCTTACAAACAAAAAGTAAACACTCTCAAAAATAAGTGCCCCAACTTTTAACTTTTGCCTTTTTCCATAATCAGTTTTTACTGAACATTCTTTAATTCTGTGATTACCACATACCCATCCCCTCTCCATTAGTATACTGTAGTTAACTTACCATGGTATACAGGGGGATAAATGTCTTGGGCATGAGCCAGTGTAGGAAGTTGAACAGTTTCTTTTTCATGAGGAAAACTGGAGAGGTAACCAGGGATCTCATCTATAAGAAACAACAACAGAGCAAATTTCTTCAGACCTTGAACTTAGTCTAGTAAAAAAGGCAAAGTCTGCATATGAACCAAGTGACCCATAAAGCCAGCGCTTATCACTGGTTTCTTTAGCACGAAGTAACTAGGAGTATTTCTACTCCCCCCTGGATGGGATNCCCCCCCCCCCCAGCAAAAAAAATAAACAATCAAGACAGTGTTTTTGTTGTGTTTGAAACATGGGGGTTCATTGTTAAGCCAAGCGCATCCCTCTACTCATATTTTCCAAAATGTCTTTTGTGTTGTTCTTTTGCACAAACAAACTTCTTTGCGATGTCTACAGTGTTCAATGTGTCAGTAATAGACTTATGACAATGCAGGAGGCAGTTGTTTAGACGATCCTGCTTCATGATTCTTCTAAGATAGGTTTTCAGTCTTTGTAGGGCAGAAAATGTGCACTTGGAAGTCACCAATGCCACAGGTAATGCCAAATACAATCTTAACAGTTTGTGGACCTCTCCTAGCAGCTGCACTAGTGATATTTTCAGTACTGAAACTTGGGGGGGNTCACTAACGCCGTTCATTGCATGTTTACACTAGCACTCCCCTATATGTTACAAAATGGCAGCTGGTATGGATCGTGGAGCCGCCATTTTGGATATTCTCAGCGACCATGTAAAATCAGCCGTTCCCCCACGGGGGGGGGGGGGGGGGGGAGGGCTGAGCTCCCCTACAAAGTTTTGTTTGGGAGAGGGGACTACAGCCCCCCTGCCCCCTGTTACGCCACCTATTTATCATCTTGCTACTTTTAGTGAGGAATGACTTCAGTTACCACAATATAATTGTACATTGCCAAGTCGCACATTGCTTCTGCATCTTTGTTGCGTATTCTGGAGTATTCTGGTAGTGCAATGCCTGTCATGTAGAGAAACAAGATCAGAATTCTGTCATTCCAATTTCAATATTCTGAAATTTTATTTTGTTTTCTATGCCACACACAGATTATAAGTGACAAGCAACAAAGTCACCATATTGTAAAAATAACAGCATATTATCACTCAACTAAAAACAATTCTATACAAACCAAAGTCATTGTTGTGTTTCTCAAGTAGACCATCAAGAACCAGACAGTCCTCAAATGCCTGAGAAAGATAAACAAGTCACTCTTACTTGGTAGAATCCCCAGAACAAAATCGCACAAGTCTGCAATTCTCTAAAACAGCTTTCAACAACAATTTAATTTAAAGAACTGGTGTTAAGAACCCCCCACGCCCATATATTACAGTTGCGAATTTAGGACTGAGTGAAACAGAAGTCAGGGTAGAGTTGTAAACAAGAGCACCAAAGACCCCACAAGCCAAAGGTTGTGATTGATAGGTGTCAGCTCAGGCCTAATGAGTTAGCCTGCAGTGCAGGTGGTTTTGGTGGTGAGTTACGCAAAACATGGAGAATTGGGACACGTCAATTCCCTTGGCAATTTTTCCCTCACCCCACCCCCTCCACTGTTTGCCTTATCCAAGATGCAGCCTTACTACTCAATACTGGAATTTATGATATGGCTAGCTCCGTGAGTGGGCAAGATGAACTGAATCCTGTGCTGTGATTGGCTACCTGAGTGGGCAAGATGGTGCTATCTTGCCCACTTGGGATTACCCACTGTGTCCTGCAAGAAAATAGTGTTCTTTCCAATACAATAAGTCCTTTATTGACCCAGCTTGGTCAGTCAAGATAGCTGGATATTGGCCTCATTCTTTTTTTGCGTGTTTATGGACCTTGACTCTCCAGCCATCTTGACCTAACACTTGGTCAATAACCCATATATATATATCTATACAATCACTCACCCAGAATAGTCTACACTGCAGGGTACTAACGAGTAAAAGCAATACACTGTGCAATCAGCTGACTGATGAAAACTTAAACTTACTTAACCCTGATAATAGAAAGAAAGTTGAAAATTTTTTACACAATTTGTTCCTTGTCCATAGAATGGAACCATGGCATGAGCTGCATCACCGATGATCACCAGTTTGTCCAAAACATGATAGGGTTTACACTGAAAACAATATAGGAAAACAGAAGTCAGTTTAAATTATCAGTTGTTGATGACTAATGAATAAACAGAGTCAACGTTAAGCACTTAATGACTGGCCCCAAGGGAAACAATGAGTTTTGTTTCCCTGAGACCGTAAACTGAGCGAGGGCAAACAAAAGTTACTGTTTCCTGTGTCATTTGGATACCTCCCAACTTGCTTGACACCTGCAGCTGGGACACAAATTTGCTGCAGTTTCAAGGTGCACAACCTGATCACTTGCAAGCCGAAAGTTAAAGTTGTTGTTTCCTTAGGGAGTTAGTGAGTTTTGACCCAAGACACATGACATGTTCTCCTCCAGCTATTTTATTTGGGAGGTGTAACAACATAATAATTATTTATCTAGACTTCCAAACTGCATACCACCCTTTTTTGTGTGTTTGTGTGTGTGGTTGTGGCAGTAGTCCATAAAAAATTTTGGCCCTCTGAATAGGATATGGAGAAAATTAGCACTCTATGGACCGAGACTAAAACTTAATGTCTGGTTCAATTTTACCTTAATGGATACCATAGGGCCAGTTGGATTCCTGAAAAATTCTTCCACAAGCTTTTCTCTGAAGAAAGCAAATTAAACAAACAAAACCAAAACAAAACAAGGTAAGTGCATCACTCTTGGAAATAGTCATTGAATGCAAAACTAAATTTTGTGATTCCTAAATGGGTATTATATAACTTACTCTCCCATTAAGAAAAGGAAATCTGGAAATTCTGCTTGAAAGAAGTTCAGCACATCTTCCTACAAAAAGAGAGAAACAACCAACAATCATAATATATATATAAAATAAATAAACAAGTGACATTCATTATGGGATGATATTAAAAATATTATAATAATTATTATTAAAATTATTGCATGTCTTGAGGTATGGGGCAAGTATTAGACTTAGAACTAAATAATACATAGGAAAATCAATGCTAATATTGATTTCTACTTGTCTTAACTTTTAGCATTCCGTGCTACCTTACCTTCGTTTTCAAATTGTCAAATTGGTCGAAAGGCAGAAACAAGGTACAGGTAAATGACCTATCCTTTGAGGACAAGAAAGGAGAATAATAATAATAATTATTATTAATATAATTATGGATTAAATATAATTATAACTCACAGTACTTATATGTATCTGGGTATCTGGGGGTGAGGTTCTGATGACATCCATTCAAGGTTTGGTAGTTACCTGCCATTGCTTGACCTGAACTTCCCCGACCAACTAGCCTTTATAAGTGCCCATTAGCTGTTCTTTTATAACGTTTTTGAAGTTGAATATATGCAAGAAAAGATTTTTTCTGCTTCATTTTTTCATTCGCTAGCAGAAAACCACCCTTGAACTCAAAAGTTAGTCCTAAACTTTTAACTAGACAGTGACTCTCTACCATAGTCACTTCGCCACAATGGCAACCACCAATAAAATGCGTCACAAATGCCAAAATAACCTCTCAATAATGGCCAGTAAAATTGATGACTGATAAATGCAGTATACAAAACCCCATTTTTTATTGTAAAAGGTCACAAAACCTGATCTGTGCCATATGTCGTTGGTCTCTGTTTCTCTTTGGTTTCTGTTTTATTGATATACTTTGCTTGTGATGCAGAACAAGAAGCATTTTTTTTAAACAAAACTGTTGCCCTCACCCCCCGCCCCCCCCCAAAAAACAGGTGTCATAATACATTCCTACATTGCACCTCCCCATTACAGCTATGTCTCTACAATGGTCACCTCCCTTTTTCCCCAAGGTGGCCATTGTGGAGAGCCTTGATGGTAAATTGATTTTGTTACATGTACATACTTACCTGATTTGGTAGAGCTATTAACATGAACATTTGTCTTGGCCATATGTGTAAATGATTCACTGCCATGGCAAACTACAAAATATTAATGATTAGAAGTAATAAAGTAAGGTTAAAAAAGGTTAAAGTCTGCATACGAGCCAAGTAGCCCATCAGGCTAGCACTTATCTCCAGTTTCTACATAGCATGAAGTGACTAGGAGTATTTCTATTCCCTGCTGAATGAGATGTTAGTCCATTGCAGAGTTACCCCCAGCATTTATTTTGCTGGTACCCATTTGTACACCTGGGTAAAGAGAGGCAATGTACGGGTAAAGTATCTTGCCCAAGAACACAACACAGTGTCCCCAGTCAGGGCTCCAACCCGAACTGTTTAATCCAGAGTCAAGTGCACTAACCATGAGGCCACTGTACCTCTCACTTGAGCGTTAAGGTTCAGTATAACAAGTTGTATGTATATTATGCATAGAAACAACTCAGTCGCATTACTTTACATGCAGCTTATTCCATACATTCAAGTAAAACAAGCACAAACCTCTCCATCTGGGGTTGGAGCCAGACAAAGCTCTTTATAACCATGAGGAATATATTCTTGACTAAAATCAAACCTTCAAACAAGTAGAGATCAGTAATCAACAAATGTTGATGACTCGGAAGAAAAAAACAACCTCCCTCCTCCACCCCTATGTTCTGCCACCCAAACCCTCCTTTCTACTACTTCCTCCATGAATCTCTCTCCTCTGTCATAGGCTGCACTTGCAATCCACTTCTCTCCTCACCCCTCTTTCTCTAGGGACCTCTTACACAGGCCCCTCCCTTCTGCCATTTCCCTTACCTTACCCATAAACCACCTTCTTTTGGTAATATTCTCCAAGACAAACCTCTCAAGTGCTTCTTCTCTCATCTGGTTCACTTGGGGGAACATGTATACTAAAGCCATCCGTGGTTGAGTGTCAATCAATACCCTTGATCAATACCCTCGATCAACACCTTGATTGGTACTCAATCAACATCCTGATTGATACTCAGTCAACACTCAATCGGCACTTGATCAACAGTTGGTTGATAGTCATCCAAGTGTCGACCGCTTCATATGCATCTTTCGAAAATTAGTTGACAGTCGACTGAGATGTTGATGAAGTGTGGATGGAGTGTCAACCGAGTCATTGATGATATGTCAATTGAGTATTGATCAAGTGTTGACTGGGGGTATCGATCGACACTTGACCAAGGATGTTCTTAGTGCACATGATCCCACTTGGGTCACTTGGTTCCCCTAGTTCACCTGGTTCAATGGCTTTACTTGGTTCACCCACCTTTGACAGCCTCCAACACAACTCTCCCTTTTGCAAATTACACCAGTGTTCAACTTTAGTCACTTCTCCCGTACCCCTTACAACCCTATCCTGTTATAACAATTATTAATAAATGAACAGTTTTGTAGTATGTTACCTTGGTCTTTTCATGAGTTCTCTCCTTAGAGCTGAGTAAGCTCCATCACAACCCAAGACAAGGTCAGCATCCACTTCTAACTTTTGATCATCACTTCTGTTGCTGTAAACAAAGAGTTGACAGTCTTGGATTAATAAACCTGCACAAAACCTCTTTCACAAAGTGTCTGAAAAACACCATTGACTAAACTACGCTACAATTACCATTTGAAAGTAAGATGGCCCTTCTCTAAATCAGCAGCAATTAGTTTGTGCTCAAAGTGTAAACCAACGCCAGGCAAACTTTCTGCAACTAAAGGACAGCAGCTCTCAGAGTAAAAATATTCCTCATGTTAAGAAAAAGAAAAGACCATGATTTATCCAGAGTTTAGAGAGAAAATTGTCAAAGAAAAAGATGGCACAACTGAGATTTTCTTACCAGAAAGAAGATCTTTGTTCAGTTTCTGTCTCTCAACTGATAACAGGTGCTGTACGTTAACATAAATAGGACTGATTTTAATTTTTCAAGTAAATTTTGTAATTACCAACAGTAATTTCTTCTCATTTCTAGAACTGACTAGTGCTGAATTAACTGTTTATTTAAAATAAGGTTACAAATATTTTCCCAAAATTCCAGATTTGCATAAATTTAAAGGACTATAGTACAGTTTTACTGTCTATACCTGTCCTTTTTTCCCATATGGGATGGGCGTGGTCCTTCCGCTATGAGAATGAATCATACGGGCATGCATTGGAATGCCAAGTGAAATAACCTGTGAAATATAATATAAACAATATACAAGGTTTATTAATAGAGTACTTATGAATCTGGTTTGCCATCACTATACATGTAAATGTGAATTACTGCTACTAACAACAAAATTTTTAGACTGCCCCTACTCCGATTTATAATAAATCACACGCTTAATATTACTTTGTGTAGTTATTCATTTCATTTCAGGGCAATCCTTATTTATTCCTTAGTGACCTTTAAAATCCAACATTAAATAAATTAATTTGAATTGATAGCAACTGCAGCATTTCAGTAGGCAGTTGCGGCCTGTACATGTATGAAAAGACAACCTCGAATAAAAAATTATTAAACATTGGGCACGCTGCAGGATATTTTGAGGTGAAAATAGACATAAGAAGATTGTCCTTTAGAGATGCAGCAATGCTTTACCGGTCCCTCTGCCCCAACAGCTCGCAGCGATTCTATTCCCCTGACTGACAGGGCAAGATTAACACTTCTTCCTCTCTGTTCCACTTCTTTACGAGGATCTGAAGATAAATCAAAACAATAAACATACTATACATTTGTCTACAAACCTCTGGTTAAAAGAGTTAAATGTAAGTTAAGATCTCTCTATAAGTCTGAATGCTTTACCCCCAGTTTACACCATAATATCCCTGCACATTTCCCCTTAAGGCCTCTACATGTACTTGCAGCCATTTTGACTTCTACAAAGGGGTACCTCCCATATAAAATGGGACTGCTAGGCTTGGTGCAGGAGATGGAGGTTCATGGGCTCCTAGAGAGGCATATATTTCTCATATGGATATAATGGAATGATTATGAACTCAAAGCTATATTCATACTTCTCTTTATTTTATGGGTGAAACCCTCCCCCTTCCTGGAACTAAGACTATTCATGACATCAACAACATTGATGAAGAAATATTAATACCTATTTTACAAGAAATATTAATAACTATTTTTTATTAAACCAGTTTCAGGGAAAGGTCTATTACACTGGGAAATTACCTTTCCGAGCTTCATAAACGTCGACTTTGAATCCACGTTTTGCAAGGTAGACAGCAATTAAAGCTCCAGCCTGGAAGATTTGATTGACTTTTTATTACTAAGTCTTTATAGAAATTATTTGACATCAATTTCTTCACTGTTTAAAATGGGAGACAAAATTGGAAGGACTTAAAATTAAAAATAATTGTATACATGTACACTCTGATACAGACAGACTAGTAATCATTATAACCCATCAAACATTTTCACTTGCACTTTTTTGGTCTAAATGCAGCACGTGACTGAATATGCCCCCAGCTAAAACTGGGGAATATCTGCGAGTGATGTTCCCCAATTGCGTGTCACAAAAAATATCTGAAGGACAAATCATAACTAAATAGCCTCCATTTGGCATGAGAATTGGTATGCTTGCATATTAATTTTGTCCTTGGACATCATCTGTTCCTCAAAGCTCACAGTTTTTCTCCAGCAATCCTTTCACAAATCTGTTTGCTTCTCAGAACAGATAATGTCCTCAGACAAATATCCAAGTATATTTTATGGCCAAATGGAGGCTATTGTTTATTGATCCCACACAAACATGCACAAGATTATCTGTTAATTTTTGTCCAAATCAGTTTTTTATGTGACATTTTGGGCCGATTTTTATTTTTTGCAGGATCGAGCTAATTTTTGACAGACTGACTTGTTTTGACATGAAAAGCATCGTTGCATAATTGTTTTTGTTGTTTGTGCTTCGTTTTCGAGAAATAACGTATGCAAAAAGCTCAGTTGTCCAAGAGTATCTTTTGGACATCTTTTGTTGAACGAAAAACAAAAGAAGCCTTTGTTTTGCTAAATGATGAAGTCACCGATGCGTGGTATTTGCTGCTAGTTTTATTATTCCTATAATTATGCAGTTCTCCTACTGTTGCTTCGTTAGCGCAAGCAAATAAGGCGCTAAACTGGCCGGATGCGAGTTTGTTTTGTCGTGACACCGGTTCAATATGAGGTCAGTCAATTTTTTTTTTTTTTGGTCTATTTCTCTACTTCTTTCAAAAATCAAAACATCTATTTAAAAAAAACCATGCTGTCACAGCTGCTAAAAGTAACCGTTTAAGTTTGCGCCGTGTCAAAATCCACCTTGGAAGGATTCGCTCCAAAAGATGCCGCTCAGAAAACTAAGTTTTCAATTGTCAAAACAAGTCAGTCTGCCAAAAATTAGCTCGATCCTGCAAAAAATAAAAATCGGCCCAAAATGTCACATACGCCCTTTTTGCATGAAACCCTTCAATTACAATAGGTGTCTACATTTTTTTAAGTTATTTAGCAGTTCATTGCAAAGTACAACTAACAGTACTCGTAATTATACTATCCTAGTCCAACTTGGAAATAATTTCAAGAATTAAAAAAAATTCCTTGGATTACTAAGGAGTTGGCCTGTGGCCTTGACCAACTTTTGCAGTACTCAAATCTAATCTTTTTCATCCCATTATTTCTAAACTGGGCAACATGTAGTCTCTGGGGGAATACTCAGGTATAATTGATGGGAAGGTCCAAATGAGGACAAATTTTCAGAACCCCAAAAGGTCCTACTAAAACAAGTCCAACGACATACCCAAAACACAACCAACAAATTATACGTCATTTTTCTCGGCATAAAATCAATTGAAAGCAAAACATCAAGAGAACTTCCCTAAAACTGGATGTCTCCTTGTCATCTACCTGAAGTTTACATCTGGGCTGGACAATTATTGTAATTGAAACTGATAGAACTGTTTGCTCAGATCCCAAATTTCACGCCCAAAAAAAGGTCTGCATACCTCCCCTTCATTGTTAAAGAGTTTTAATAGCAAACCACGATGGCAACACCAATGAGAACATCACCAAACAAAAGGTTTAATGAGCAGAACAATGGTTCTGCACATGCATTTTGAATTTTTGTACATTTCTTTGCTGTCCTCGGCAAAACAACAATGTAAAATGTCAAAGCCATACTTATTTTGGAGAATGTGCACCTCCATGGCAAATTTATCATGTCTCCCTTAAAATTGGAATTGACTGCTGTCATTACATATTTAGCCCGAGCAAGTTTTTAGACTGATAGGAGAACTGAACAGATCCACACAGTTGCGACATTTGAGGGTAAAATATAAATACTTTTTTTACGAGGTGACGTCCTTGGCATTGCTGTCATCATTGCTAAAACTCCCTATTATATCTGAGCATAGTTAACAGAGGAGACTGGTTATGAAGCCCAGTAAACATCAAAGGAACAAACAAAGATGCCAAGATTTATGTTGGAAGGTCCACGACCATGCACAATCTTTTGTTTTGCACTCATACACTATGCATGAATTACGTAACCAACACGTTTCTATTGGTTAGTTTTTCAATACGGAGTAAACAACTATTGTGTATTGTGCACGGTCAATGCCAAAAAAGTGAGCAAAAACATAAAACAAAACTTTGTGGGGTTTCATAACCGTTCCCCTCTATTAACTATGATCCGAGCATCCCCCTTCCCCTTCCTGGACAGGTAGTCAATCTATTACATGTTAAGTACTTTTGAAACTCTTGCACATTTCAGCTTGAGTGAAATGTAATGACTTGACAAGCACAAGGCGATTTCAGCGTTTTGGCCCCGTCCACACTAGGCCAGAGAAATTTGAAAACGCAACAGTCAATGGTTATTTTGATTTATGTTTGGAGAAAACTCAGATAGAAACTCGTGCAGTGGGAAATCACACGATTATAATTAGTGAGATCGTCGTTCTCGAAAAGCTTTGTTTTGAAAATAAATTTCTTCCACACTAAAACGCATAGCCGTCGGTTTGAAAAACGCAAAGCTCCGTTTTCGTGATGGATTAGTGTAAACGGTAGGTTTGGGTCAATTTTCGGACTGAACGCGTGCAAACAATGCAAGCTAATCACAGCTCGCAAAAGTTTGAATAAGATCTTCCATGCAAGCACGACAGTGTTATCAAGAGTAAAAATTGAATCCTTCCAAGAACTTAAACCGAAAATCTTACCAAGCCACCACCGACCACAACAACTTTCTTTGCAGTCTGTTCGTCCTGGACAACTTTTGCCGCCATGTCGGCCATTTCTATCAACTGACCGAGCAACTGATTAGGGGACTGAGTACGAGTAACATGGCTACAGAATCAACAGCAGAAGAAGCGAGTTCCAAAAAGATTGTTATTGTTGGCGGTGGTTTGGTAATATAAATTTATTTATTATTAATCGTTTGCTTTGATTCCGAATTCTTAATTTCTTTTAGTTTCTCTTGCTGTTTTTCAGCGTTGCTTCTAATGTTTCATATGTCCTAAGCCATTGTTATGTCATCCTGACCATCGTTTTAAGGTCGACTCAAAAATTTCACTTAGGGACGCTGAGAAATGAAAAGAGAGTATCCTTCTTTTATTCCACATTAAGAAACTGAAATCATTTACTATTAATTAATAATTAAAGTTTTAAGCTTAGCAGAAAATTATGCTAATAATTATTGCCGGGGGGATACTCCCTTATATGGGCTATATAGGTATGTGCGTCCCCAAAGGGTAGGGTTTTTCAGTCGTTTTGGTTATCAGTAGGGTATCGAGTTTGGCCATTTTGGTCTCAAACAGGGTATGGTTTTAGCACTCTAGTCTTAAATTGTGTGGATCCAGAAAATATCCATACCCCCCACGGAGGGTTTTTTCCAGTATGACCCCCCACCCCCCAGGATTTTCCATTCCAGGGGGCTTCTCGGTACTCCCCCCACCCCCTGGAATTTCCATGATTTTTCTACCTGGACCCCCCTAGCCCTTGGAAATTCTGTATCCATAAATAACAAGACTTAACTCATTAATTGTAATAAAATTTAGCTGCAGCTGTTTATAGTTACATGGTAGACGAAGACGTCCTTTTTCACACTAGACTGCAGACGTGGCATGTTCCTTCATGTCATGTTAAAATGTTTGAACTGGTGTTTAAACTAATAAACAACTGACTTAGAAGCTCTTCACACCCAAATGGCATAGCAGCTGACTTTTTCTTCATTAAAAGATGTTTTCATACTGTCAAGAATCTCGAAACGTACATAACCCAGTTGAAGTTTTAATTTATGCATGGTCAAAACAACATCAAATTACTTTACGCACACGGTAAAGTCGTCACGCAACATTTTTTTTTCAAAACAGCTGTTTCTCAAATGTCGCTTTATTGTTCTGTTCACCAAAGGAATACATCAGTTAAGTCATACGCTTTGTCTCTGTAGTTTGTAAATGATAGTAAAATCATTTTAGGCCTTATTTTTTTTTTTAATTTGTCATACATTTCATACGTGAAACACGCATTGTTCAGTCACTCTGTAAATGACTGAATGAAATCTCGGCTACCGCTCCAACGCTCCTCACTGTCCACGGTTACATATAGTTCAAGACAAATGGCTTTCAATCGACTTTGCTCACTTAGCAAACTATTAACTACATGGATAACGATGAAAATATGTGATAACCTAGTTACGGCAAGTCCGAAACGGGGAATAATTTTGTATGAGTATCAAACAAAATAAACAAAGAACGGCCCAAAGAACGAATCTCATTTAATTGACAGCATGATTAATGCTGGAAAAGGCATCTGAGCTGCATTTAAGCTAAATACAGCACGGTCTTCAAAGTATAAAATATCATCATTGTCCACATATTGCTGCACCTCTTCGTCGGCATTTTGTTCAACTTCACGTCTAACAAACATGATGCTCAGGATTCCCGTCTGTCGTACAATGTTGGAAGAAAAATGGAAAATATATGACAAAGAATCGCTTAAGAAAAGCTTATTTCAACAGATAGAACAGTTCTCTTGGTTTGGTTACCTGAATCGATTGGGAAAGTACAATTATAGTGTTCATTCAATCGCATTTCACACCCACTGGAAAGAAAACTCTTTGAGTAGCCCCCTTCCCCTTTGGAAATTTGCCTATGTCAGACACCCCTATCCCTTGGAATTTCCGTGACCGATCTACTCCCCTCTGGATGGGATGCTAGTCCATCGTAGGGTTACCCCTAGCATTAAATTTGCTGATACCCATTTATACACCTGGGTGGAGAGAGGCACTGTGAGAGTTAAGTGTCTTGCCCAAGAACACAACACAATTTCCCCAGCCAGGGCTCGAACCCAGACCATTCGATGCTGAGACGAGCGCACTAATCATGAGGCCACCACGCCTCCCACAGACCATAGACCCAACCATAGAAATAAAGCTACATTTCTCCAGGGTAGTGTGAACAGGGTCTTAGTTTACCTAGTGTATTTTTTTAAATATTCTTGTTAAGTCCAAGTAAGTTATAGGCATGGATTGTGTTTTCTACAAAATATCCATACCCCTTCTGTGAGAGCTCTTTGGTATGACCTCCCCCCCCCCTTCCTCGGTAATTCCAGTCTTTCTTCATGCTTCCTTGGGTTTTGAATCTTCCCTCCCTGTCAGGATTCCCAATGATCATTTTCTTGGGGTGGGTGTGGATTTTTCCTGGAATTTTACATTGAAATATTGGCTCCTCTTCTCAATCTTGTCACATGTAGGTTGGATCATTATGTGCAGTTTTCCTTGTTAAACGAGGATTCAAAGTTGATCTCTATGAAGCACGGGAAGGTAAATTTCATTTACTTGTAAAAGTCAGATAATAAACTTCTAATCAATCTCACTTAAGCTCACAAAAAATCATTACTAGCATGATAAATTACTTCAGATTAAATCAATACTAGCAATAATTTCAACTCTCACATAACTTCTATAATTCATATGATTAGTTCCTCAAAACTACAGTCAAACCTCCTGTATACGCATAGGGAACCACCCAAAATGCCACCTTCAGGTGGTCGCTTATGGGACGTGGTCACTTACAAGAGCCTAGACCATGGTGGATCAAAATTTTGTCTCATTAGCATATTGTAAAGGCAGAGACTTGCCCCATGTTTTAAACATTTTATTCATGTAAAAAGTCAGTTTTCCCATTAAAATATATCCATCTTTTGTACTACCCACCATGAACTTTCCTAGGCAAATTTACCACAAGAGTCATTTGCATCCTTCCGTTTGTTTTATAAAAAATGAAATTGATTGATTAATGCTGTAGCTTGCACATGACGTGAACCAGGGAAACATTCCCACTCAAAGATTTACAATAATTCCTGTATGACCACTGTGTTTTTTCAGATCCTCGTTCAGTGGAGTTTGTCCGTGGTCGTAGTACCAATCTTGCACTGTCCACCAGAGGCATTGAGGCTTTAACAGAAGCTGGAGTCTTAGAATCAGTATGTTTAAATTCTTCAAAGAATTTTACTAGCTAGCACGCTACTGTATCCTGGTCTTTGTTTTAGTTCATGAGGTGTTGGAATGTCTGTCTTACTCTTTAGGGAGTATCAGAGGCTTTGTATAGTAATAGGAGAAAACTCTATGCAAGGGGAGAGGGAAATAAATAAATGTTATTTTTTGATTGTGAGGAATCATAAACATATTATGTCTACAATAGGTTTTATAAAATATTGAAAATAATAGGTGCGCTTTCATTGGTCAATAAGCGTAGCACATGTGTTTAGATGAGAGTATGTAAACATTGGTGACAAGAATTAATATTGGATCATGTTACTAACGCTATCCACATTTGAGTCTCGATCGGTACACTCCATTGATACCATCAATCGACCCTCAATCAATACTCTGTCAAGACCTTGGTTGACACTCAATCGACACACCATTGACATCTCAGTCGACAGTCAGTCAGCCTACTTTTTAATTGATGCGTAGGGTCAGTCGACACCGGGCCAACTATTCTCCCAAACCCCCCCCCCCCCCCCCGTCATGTTTAGATGATGCTATATAAAAGTCCTCTGTTGCTTTAATATGACATATTCTCTGCGCACCATTACGGGCCTATGGTGCTATATAATGAAAAATTATTAATATTATTATGAAATTGAAAACATGCTCTGTGTTTCTATCAAGTTATAGAAACATGAGTGGGAGTTTGGGAGAATGAGAAATGCTGTGGGAACACAAGCCGACAGGCAAGTGTTTCCACAGCTTTTTCAATTTCACCCAGACTTCCACGAGTGTTTCTATTAAACAATTAGATTATGAGTTCGAGATTTCTATCGGATGATAGTTGACTTGGACTGTGCCCTTGTCAACTATCATGCATAGAAATCGAGAGCGAATAATCTTATATTGTTATAAATCTACTAGTCGTTCAAAAGTTTATCTAAATCCTCTTTGCTGACACTTTGGAGATGCCAAGAAGCAGCCGTCATTTTGTTTTTTGTTAACAAGGGTTCACTGCTACACTAATCAGTATCTATCACAGAATAGATAGACAGTGAGCAGCATAGCCAATCAGAGAACGGCATTCCTGATAGAATGCTAGTAGATTTATACTAACACTTGATAGAAACATGGAGAAATGGTGTTTTCTATTTCTTTTAGGAAATTCTATGACGATAAAAAGAAAACAACTTGATTATATTGATCATCAAACTGTATTTATCATCTTTGCCTGTGCCATCATTATGCCAACAGCTCATGCTAGTCCAGTCTGTGTTTCTATCAAGGTATAGAAACATGATTTTAAACCAATCAGACCATCATTTGGTTTTTTGTTAACAAGGGCTCACTGCTACACCAATCAGTATCTATCACAGAATAGATAGACAGTGAGTAGCGTAGCCAATCAGAGAACGGCATTCATGATAGAACGCTAGTAGATTTATACTAAAACTTGATAGAAACATGGATAAATGATGTTTTCTATTTCTTTTAGGAAATTCCACAACGATAAAAAGAAAACAACTTGATTATATTGATCATCAAAATGTATTTATTATCTTTGCCCGCACCATCATTAAGTCAACAGCTCATGTTAGTTCTGTGTTTCTATCGAGTTATAGGAACATGATTTTAAACCAATCAGTGAGCATATTTTCTTTACTATAGGCTATTTTTTTAAAAATTAATTATAATAGTTATTATATTTATTTAATCATAGACAGGCAAGGAAGAGTAGAACTCCTGCTATGTCTAGTTTGTGAATGCAATCAAACAACATTCAATTGGTTTTCACAACAGATTTTGCCTCTGGGCGTGGCCAAGTTTGGCCGTATGTTGCATTCCACCAGTGGGATCAGGACACCTCTTTACTATGACCAGGAAGGACCAGTAAGATTTTAGATCTAACAAGAATATTGTATGTAGTGGTATTGCATAATGCTGACTGCAGATCCAGTGACTGGTGAAAAGCCTGCCTTAGCCTGCGAGCAGGCCCTCCTGTGCTGAGCATGTTTAAGGGGCAGTTTCTTAAAGTTTTCAAGTGATTTTAAACAAAAGACAGGGTACAAAATACTTACTCCATTCCAAAACAAAATTTTTCCTAATGTTAGTGGTGAGAGCCCTTGCCTCTCACCAATGTGGTCTGGGTCCGATTCTGGTCTGGTGCCATTTGTGGGTTAAGTTTGTTGTTGGTTCTCACGTCGCTCCAAAGGTTTTTCTCCAGATTTTCCAGTTTTCCTCTCTCACAAAAACCAACATCTCCAAATTCCAATTCCATCAGGATAGAGGACCTGCATGAGCCATTGTGACATCTTTCCCCTTGAATTATATCATTCTATCACATATTATTTGGCATATGGTTTCCTCTTCATTGTCAGTCTCTTCTTTACTACTTTGTTTCCAATGCATACATGTTAAATTTACTTATTTCTCTTTCTTAATAGTATCCTTTGTTGGCAATGGAAAGGAGAAAAGTGAATGAAAAACTTCTTTCTGGTATGTATTTTATGGCAAAGGACTAGCCAGTTAGCAGTTTACTGCCAGAAACAAAAAGCAATGAATGCAGCTACAATAAATGATGAAACTGGTTCACAACAAAATATGACTAATATTAAACTAGGTAATAAGAATCTAAGAAAATATGGAAAACTGGTGAAGTCTAGGAAAATATTATATTAAGTGACTATCAAGTCATAACCGCTTTTAGGTTAAGAGTTTGATGTCCAAGTTTTTAAAACAAATCAGAGAGTATTATAGTATTAAGGTAAAGGTAAGTTTGCATATGAGCCAAGTGGCCCATCAGGCAAGTGCTTATTCCCTTTTCTGTAGCATGAAGCAGCCAGGAGTATTTCTACTTCTTTGAATGGGATACAGAGCTACCCCCAGCACTAAATTCACCAGTACCCATTTATACACCTGGTTGGAGAGAGAAGCACTGTGACAGTAAAGTGTCTTGCCCAATGTGTTGAACACAATGCCCCTGGCTAGGGCTGGAACCTGGACCATGGAGCATCCACAGTCTAATGTGCTAACGATTAGGCCACTGTGCCTCCCTGGTATATAGTATAATTTAAGCCATGCTTCTGTTGAAGCAAATAAACCTTTAAAGCATCTAAATTGCTTTTGACACTCAGTTGAAACTACTCTAACTAATAGCTTGATAGTATTAGTAATTACATTATTATGAATTTTTATTAATACTAATTACAGTAGAACCCCAGTAACTCAAACTCGGATAACTCAAATTCCCCACTAACTCGAAGCAAGTCCCATTTCCCTTGGATTTGACCCCACTTTTCAGTCATTTTAACTTGGTTATCTTGAACTCGGATAACTCAAATTCCCCACTAACTTGAAGCAAGTCCCATTTCCCTTGGATTTGACCCCACTTTTCAGTCATTTTAACTTGGTTATCTTGAACTCGGATAACTCGAATACCCCACTAACTCGAACTAAATTTTGTTTCCCTTGATAAAAATTTACCCCAATAACTTGAATTCTGGCTCATGTAACTCACCAGGGATGTCATCCCATTGGCTTTTCTTGTCATGTAATCGGTAAAAACACTCAAAACTAACACCACACCAATTATAACACCAATTATAATCTTGTAAATTCTTTTAGTTGTTTACAGTAGTAGAAATAAATAAACTGTTGTTACTGTTGTTACCACAGCAATTTGATTTTAATTAGTGCAACCAACCACTCACATATTTGACGGTCATTTCCCGATGTTATGAGTCATACTGGATGTGGTGCCTAAATTTAGCCGTCATTGTATACTGAAGTGCAGAAAAATCAGTAAACTATCAATTATTAACATGGCAAGTTGGATATTCAATCGACCCTGATAACTCGAACCCCCGCTAACTTGAACTGTTTTTCGTTTCCTTTCAGAGTTCCAGTTACTGGGGTTCTACAGTAGTTTTTGTCTGTGTAAATTTGTAATAATTTTTCACCTTTTTTATCTGTCTGTGGTTCCTATTTCCTATTTGATAATACTTTTAAAATGACTCCTTCAATAGCTGTGGAGACCTTCTCTAATGTGAAGTTGTACTTTGAGCACAAGCTGCTATCTGCAGACCTGGAGAAAGGCCATCTTACATTCTTATGGTGAGTGAAGTTATTAGTCAAGAAATCAGTTTGGTCAAGTAGACTGTTTAATTCATGCTATGAAACTTCTTCTCAACCTCACATCTTTGAACCCATCAACATGCTCTTGACAGGTGAAAACTAGCCAGTGAGTGCTTCATGATACATGTTGCTTGGATGCACCAGAAACCAACAAGATCAACTAGTTAATTGACAGATTAATTAAGAATTCTTTTGAATATTTCTTGAAGTTTTGACCCGTTGCAATATTTCTGCATTCATATTTGGTGCTTTGCCTTTAAAGTCTTCAACCATGTGGGTTGGCATAGTCCTTTACATTGGGATTAGCAATAATCCCAGTCACTTTGAGCTAAAGTGATATTACTCAAAAGTGTGGCCCATGAAGTTCTTACTCACATATATGTCTTCAGGGGCCCATTTCTTGAAAGCCCCGGAAATTTTTAGGGCCCGCAAATCCATTTTTAGATAATCTGTATGTAAAAGCAGAGAGGTGTATATGCCTGAAACTCCTTGTATGAAGAGAACGTCTGTTGATATTAAGAATGATTTAATATGTAAACAAAACAGCGCTGTATAATCATAAGGTTTGAGATATTGCTATGGCTTTCCGGATGCAAAAACTTTTCGGGACCTTCGAGAAATGGGCCCCTGATCCTATGGCATAAGGCAACTAGTGGTGTATTTGTTACTCTTAGATGGGATGCTAGTCTATTGCAGAGTAACCTGCCAAGAATTTAATGGAACTGTGAGATTAAATCATCTTAAGGCTGGAAACTGGAGCACTCAATTCAGGGTCCAGTGTGTGCTTTCCACAATCAGTCTGAAAAGAACAGAGTTAGTTACCAGCACACCAGCCATTGCAGCACTTTGGCCTGATGGCCTAATGGTTAATGAGCTTGACTAAGTATCAAGCAGTTGGGGACATTGTGTTGTGTTCTTGGAAATACACAGTAATCTTACAGTGCCTCACTCCACCCAGGTGTATAGCAGTACCGGCAAATTTAATACTGGGGGTAACCCTGCAATGGATTAGCATCCCATCCAGGGGGGAGTAGAAATACTCCTAGTTGCTTCATGCTTCTGAAACTGGACATAAGCACCAGCCTGATGAGCCACTTGGCTTGTATGCAGACTTTACCTTTTTATGTCACATATGAACCATGTAGCTCCAACAATATCTAGTATGGAAACATACGAGCTAATAAAATACCTTCTGCTGTGTTTATCATAAATGATTTCTTTTCATTGCTGTTGGCAGCTCTGATGGTAAAACTGTAGAAGTTGATGCTCAGTTGATTATTGGAGCTGATGGAGCTCGTTCGGCAATCAGAAATGAGATGATGAGAAGACCAAGGTACCGTTAGTTATCAAGTATCATTCCCACACAATGTGCGCATGGGGCTATGAAACTTTGATATAACCAAGTCACTAACAATCAGGTAAAAATGCAATCCAATCAGCCACTTCATAGCTCTCTAACTATCTTTAGACTCAGGGTTCCAGGTACGTTTTCAAGGCAGGGAGTCTATTAGGAATTCTGTTGGGTCAATTCCCACTGCTCCCACCAAATCATCATAAATTTGCTACTAGTTTGTTGGTTCGTGCAGTTGGCCTTGTCAGGTTTTTCACCTGAGACCCCTCACTTATCTGAAACACTGAGACTACACCAGGAGCTGGTTTCAATTCTCCAATTTTGTGAAGTCCACGAAATAAGACTGATTAGCAGATACTTTTTGTTTTTCTATCAACTTTGATAAGGATGCATTTTTCAGGGTTGAAATGGGAAGGAAATTAGCATGGATGTAGCTGACTGTGTTAAAACTTTACTGAATTCTTGTTACAGAAAACTAATGCCATACTTGATTTCCATGTCAGGTTTGACTTCAGCCAAGAATATATCCCACATGGGTACAAAGAGTTTCAGCTTTTACCAACTCAAAGTGGAGAGTATGCTATTGAAGAAAATTATCTACATGTTTGGCCCAGAGACTCCTTTATGCTCATTGCGATACCAAACAAGGTATGTACTTTCAAATAAATTGTCTACGTTCCCCCCGCAAGGATGGAAAATATTTTGTTTCAACAGCATTTGAGTGAGGGGGCCTATCTCAACTTAACTGAGATGAAGTTCTTACTGGTAATACAAATGGGGCCTATTTATCTGAGTCTGAAGATTCTTCAAAAATTGTCTGAAGGCCACACTAAATTTCCAAACATTTTCCAAAAATTTCCGAAGATTTCTGAAGATAACCGAAGATTGCTAAAAACTTTCAAGGAAGATCCGAAGATGTTTAGATCATACACTGGTCAACAAATTTAAGTACAGTTCAAGGGTCAAACCCAATATTATAGAAGTCATCAATATCTGAAGTCACTAGTGAAGGTATGGAAAATACGCCACTGGAGTCCCGGATGTAGTTTCGTATGAATTTTATGAGTGGTGTATTTTCCAGTAAAACACTTGTGCTGTATAATAAACTATCTTTAGTTATTCATTTCTCTTTGAGTGCAAGTGTTATCCCCAAAAGCTCAAATTAGAATAGAAAGACAGCAATGACAGTTGTCCTTAAGTTTAAGTTTAATAATTCTTTGCCACATACAGTGGAATCCCGATTTCTCAAACCCTCAGTTTTTCAAACCTCCTAATAACTCAAACCAAAAGTAGTTTGCCTCTCCTCAGTCGAACGCTGTAATTTGACCCCCGATTTCTCAAACTATCTGATTTTTTGAACCAATTTCTGTTCCCTTGGAGGTTTGAAAAATCGGGATTCTACTGTACGTTTAGAAAAAAGGAAGCATTGAATTAGTGGCAGAATAGTAGCAGGGGAAAGCCTAATTCCCATTCTACAGCCAAACTCTCCTTTCATTAAAATGTATTAAGTTAATACCTAAGTCTTCATTTAACAAATAGAGAGAAAAACGATATTTCAGGAGAATGTAAAAGAAGGAGAATTTGATAAAAAACCAGCTTGTGTCAGCGAAGGAAAAGTGATGCTCTTTTTCTCTTTAACTAATCTTCTTCAGTTAGGCAGTGAATGCTTCCTGCCTTCAAAAAATAATTTTAATCGATTTTCATCATTTATTGTTTGCGACTTTCTTTGCAGGAGCAGTCTTTTACATGTACACTTATCATGGCTTTTGAAAATTTTGATGCTTTGGAGACAAAGGTGAGCAGCAATTTTTTTATTATCATCTTTGGTTACAAGTTAGTTAGTGTTACTATTATATAACAAGGTTGATAGAATATTTTAAATTATTCTAATACATTTTTTTTTGTCCAAACAGGAAGATATTATGAGTTTTTTTAATGCTACTTTTCCTGATTTTGTTCAAGTTATGGGAGAGTAAGTAGTCATTCCTATTTCTTTTGTGATTATTTTGAACTTTACTGTGTCAGTTCTCATTAACAATTAGATTATTCACTCTTAGTTTCTACGAGCACAGGTGGCCCATTAGCTCCAGCTGTGAGATGATCATCTTGTGTAACAACAGTTGGGGACTGCCTGTGCAATGAGGTGATAGTTGATGCAGTCTTCAGCCTCGTCAACTACTACCACATAGACATTGGGAGTGTATACTCTAGATCTGTGTTTAGTAGAATTCCAACTAAATTTCCCTCAAATAAGAATTTCCAATCATTTCTCAACGTAGTGTTTCACTTTACGCTTTAGCAAAATCATGCAGTTTTGCACATGCATTCTTTGGCTCATTGAAAAATTTTGAGGTTCTAAAGTCTTAGTGGTCTGTTTCCTTACTCAAGTGTTCTTGTTGTGATATTTCTAAATCTTCCTTGAAACATTACAAACATCAGAAAATGTTGCCATTTATGTGGAGACCTCCAGCCACTGCACACTGATGGTTGATAGTATACGAGTAGCTCAACCAATC